CCCCCTAATTCGGGTCGCGCCGCGTTCAGTGCTTCACATTTTGCGCATACTCCAGTAGGGGCAGCCACTATCGGCCCAGTATCAGTCCTCGAACATTTGTTTCATCATAGTTGCATGCGCCCCTCTCCCACCCCTCCGACCCATGTCTACCCCTGTGCACTCCTGTGCACCCACGTGCATCCGTTTCCCCCCCTCTGCCCCGCAGTTTTCCGCCCCCCTCTACAGCCGCGCGCCACTTCCGGGCCGCCTTGTAAGTTGCCCCCCGCGCGCCTAATGCCCATGCCCTTTGCCCTTCCATTTTTTCTACCCTTTGGCGCGAGTCAGGCGCGGCGGGCTTGGGCGCGTGCGCGCGCTAAAGAGCCGGCGCTGCCTGCCGCGACGGCTCGCGCGCCGCGCGGGCGATCCGCGCGCGAGCCATCAGCTCGCGCATTGCCGACTGCGCTGAGCCACCTGCTCAGCTTACGACTTGCATGCGAGAGAGGGCGCGCGGAGAGACGCGACGGGGCGCAGCGAGGCGGCATGGGCGACGCCCCCACCCCCCCCGCCCCCCCAATCCTCCTCCGCGCCTCGCCCCTTGCTGGCGCGTGCGTCGCGCGCTGCCGTTCCCATCGGCGCCGCGCCGACGGCCCCCCCCCCCCCCCCCCCCCCCCCCCCATCCGCCGCCTTCCGGGCCGCGCCCGCCCATCCCGGCGCCCGTGCCGCCCGCGCCGCTCGACGCCGCATTCCAGGCGTTGCTCGCGAACCACGACGTCCCCGCGGTGGTCGCCGCTTACCCTGAGAGCATCGGCATGCAGAAGATGGACGACTTGGCCGTCCACCTTGACGCGCGCTCCGAGGTGCAGAGTAAAATGCTCGCCCGTGTTCCAAGTCATACGGAATCCGCAACTGCCAGCTGCCGCCCCGAGCAGGCCTGGTGGGTCGCCAACGACGAGCGCGAGTAGAAACGCACCAGGGCGAAACAGGGGTGGGCCGAAACAGAGCTCGACGCCCCCCCTCCAACGTGAGGACCAAGCTCGGTGCTACTCGAATGTCACGATGCTCTACATGTTCTCGCTCCGCACATTCGAGCGCTGCTCGGACTCCATGTTTGGCCGCCTGTGCCGCGAGGCGAACAAGTGGACGATGACTTTCTGCCAGGTTGACAAGATCCGCGACTTGAAGCAGTCGCAGGCTGCGTCGCGCTCGAAGAGGACTCGCTTCGCGGAGAACCTCGTCCTCGACGTGTCCAGCGAGGAACCGTCGATCCGGACCCCCCCTTCCGATGCGCCGCGCCCATGGCGCTCGCATCTCGCGCAACGTGGGCAGTCGCGGGGTCGCGCAAGGTTGCCTCCGAAGGCGACGCGGCGCACGGGGGGATCATTTGCGCGCCCATGAAGGGGTGCCTCCACTAAGGCGCGCGTTGAGGAGAAGCCCATGGCCGTCATGACCAAATGGCCTCGCGCGCGAACTTGCCGGACGCTCGGCTGGCTCCGCGCGGCCGACGAAGCCGCGCAAACCCTCGTCATGGAGTGCGTTAGCGCCGATCCGAAGGCGGCCATCGGCGAGGCTATCGCCCGCGCCATTCCCGAGTGCGCCCACGAGTGGACGCCGCCGGCGCGCGCGGAGAGGACGGGCCGCGGGCCCCGCGGCGGCGGCGAGGGCGCCGGCCGCGGGCCCTGCACGAGCGCGCATGGGCTGGCTTCGCAGGACGCGCTCGGCACCTCGCCCCCCCGAGCGCAGCGCCCGCCCCCGCCCGCCCCTCGGGCCAGCGGATTTTTCCTCCTTGGGTCGGTCTCTTCCAGCAATCGTTCGAACGTTTCTCTGCCGCCCTGGTGCGGTCCGCAGCGTGCGTCCGACTGTCGCATTGCTGGCGGGCCTGCTTCCCGCGCGTTCTCGCCCCTTCCCAAAACCACCGCGAGGGTTTCAGTGCGTGGGCCAAATTTGCGGGAAAGTTGGTGGCGACATTGGGTCGGGAATCACTTTCTAGTGCTACTTGCATTGTGTTCGGGCCTCTTGCATTCAGCGCAGTAGCTTGAGGGCTTGCCCCTCGGGGGGGCCATGGCATTGAGGGGGGCGGGGGATCCGGGGAGGGGGCGGGTGTCTCCCAGGGGCCTCTTTGCCCCGAAATGCACCCCTCGGGCCGCGGCCCTCGGGCTCTCGGGGCCCTCGCAACTTGTCGTCGGCGATGCGAGCAGTTCCAGCCGCCCGCGCGGATTGCGAAGGATTTGGCGTGGCCGGAGCGGTTTCGGCACGGGCGATTTCCGATTTCGGCCAGCCCCGAGTACGTTGGGGGTGCTTTTCGTTTAATCGAGCTGGCGTTGCGCGGCGCTTCCCGATCGGGCCTCGTCGGGGAGCGCGGGGGGAGGTGCGTCGCCGAGCCCGCGATCGGGGGGCTCTGCCGAACGCTCGCTCGAGCTCGGGGCGGCGATTGCAATGCAGGGCGGATCCGCCGATGCCAGCTCGGAGGCGCCCGACTCGGGCGCGCGTGCGCATCGGCGTCGGCCCCGCCCGCCACTGCGCCCGCCCCGCCGACGGCGGCCGCCGACGTCGTTCCCCGCGCCTCGGCACCACCCCGCGCAGCTGAACAGCTCGCAGGGCGCGGGCGCGAGCTGGGCGCGTTGCGCTTCTCGCCAGGATCTGGCGGCGCCCGCCCGACGCTGGCCCAGGGTCGGGAGGGCGCCGTCACGGGGGGGCGGGGGGGGGGGCAGGCAATGTCCGAGAGGGCTAAGCGGTTAGGCGCCTGCGCGATGGGGCCGCAGGGGAGGGGCGGGAAGCGGGGGGGGGGGGCGGCGGAGGATGAAGGGGCGCGGGAGTGGAGGGGGGGTGGTCTGCGAGGGCGGTGGGGAGGGTGAGATGGGTGGGAGAGGCAGTCAACCGCGTCGCGGTGCTAGAGACGGACTTGGCCTGGGCGAAGACAGCGATTCTGAGGTTGGGGAGGAGCCTCCATGATCTCAGGGCCGTCCTCGTCGGCGATGCCAGCGAGCGAGCGAGCCGCGGGACCCGCCGACGGCGGGGGCGATGATCCGAGCTCCGCTGATTACCCGATTGCTGCGCTTTCTTTGACATCACATTGAAAACTACGTAGGGCCCCGCGAGGTAGCCAGAGCAGCTTTCAGTTACTAGCTTAGTGCGCCACTCGAGGATCCATAGACCACAACAGAGGGGAGTAATTGTAGGGCCTCGCTGCGCATGGACCTTTCGTTTGCCGCCGTCGTCACGGACAGCTTGGTTGAACAGTGAACAGCAGCTTGTGTGCGCCCCGTCCCATTGAGCGCCATCGCTTCTGCGTTTCGTTTTTCAATTAGGACAAGGGGCCACACCGTAACCGAACGCCTTGTCTGAGGGGTTCCCCCCTCCGTTTTCCCGCCAAATGGCGTGCTCGTCCGCAAACGCTTTATTCGCAACGCAGCAGGGGTGATGCACTAGTGCATGCACGCGGGGGCGCAACGTTGCATTACAGCGCATTGCGCTGAGATAACCTAGCGCGGCATAGCCAATGCGTAGCGCGTAGCATCGCATAGCACCGCAGAGCATCGCATAATGCAATGATGCGTGGCGTTGTGCATCACCGCGTTGTATTACGCTGAGCATCTGGCATTCCTCCCCGAGACGCATGCCCTTCACAGAGGTGCCTGGCAACTTAAATTAAGACTCGAGAATATGTTGCTAAAAATGAAGAGTCGCGCCGTGATGCGATCGCTAAGTTTTTCTGACACGTAAGCATTAACAGCGATTCGAAGCTGGCTTCTCCAAGCCAGAAACGGAAATCTGGATTTATCGCGCTGATGCGCCACAGCGGTGCGTCGACGCACAATGTCAACACGAAACGCTCGAAAACAGCATGGGCAACTGTCACCAATGGTTTGTTTTAAAATGCTTGTGGTCCTTGCGTGCTGATGCAACTGCGCGCCCTGTGAAGTTCTCGGTTGCTCGTGGAACGCGGCCCCCTGGCGGCGGCGGGGCGCGGCGGGGGAGGGCGAAGCCTTGCTGTTCTCGGTCGCTCGCGGCCCGCGGACCCCTCGCTGGTGAACGTCATGGAGGCATTGGAACCCCATGGGAATCTTTGGAAGGCCTTGGGCCGCGGGGGGCCCTTGACCCCTGGGGCCCCCATGGGCGGCCCTAGACACCTTGAGCCCTGGACTCCTGGAAAACCTTGGGGGCTTCAGATCCCGCGCATTTCCACGCACCCCTCGCGCTGATCGCGGTGTCTGGCGGATCAGCGGATCGCAAGGTTTGTCGGTCCTTCGGGCGCGTGTCGAATTCAAACTTGAAGGGCCAAGTTTGGCTCAAACTTGAGAGGCCAAGTTTGGCGCGAAGGCGGAAACAACAGCTCAAACTTGAAGGGTCAAGTTTGGCTCAAACTTTAGGGGTCAAGTTTGGCGCAAACTGGGTGGGCGCCGCAAGGGAGAGAAGGGGGAGAGGAGGAGGAGGCGGATAAGGAGGAGGAGGGGGGGGAGGAGGAGGAGGAGGACGTTCCATACGGACCATGGACCATTTGGGCTGAGGAGGAGGAGGGGGGGGGAGGGGGTGGTGGGAGGAGGGCGACGCTCCAAGCGGGTCATGGACCACGCGCCGCCCTGCACTCGAATCTCTAAATTTGCACTTGCAGTAAATGCTGCAGGGTCGGAACATACCCCCGGAGGCCAGCCTTGCCACCGCCGCCGCCGAAGCCGGGTGCCAGGAAGGTGGACGGAGAGGCCGCTTCTGACGTGAAGGCCCAGTCGCAGGACCTCAAGGAGGAGCTGGCAAAGGCGAGGGCCCAATTGAGCGTGCTCAAAGGGAAGAGGGATACATTGCGGCAGGCGGCTTTGCCGTTTGCAAAAGCGCCGCCGCCGGCGCCTGCTCCGGGCGTCCGCCCAGCGCCGGCTGCCGCAGCAGGCGTTGCCGCAGCTCCGCCCGTCGACCTCAACCAAGCCCGCTTGCATGCGCAACGCCAACTTCGTGATGCCCGAGAGGCCCATGCCGACAAGGCCCAGGACATCGCCCAGAGCGGCCTGACCCAGATCACCGTGACCTTCACGCCAGGCTTCCGCGACACCCGGCACTTCCACGATGTCGTGGAGGCCATGGGGGTTTACCCGTGCCTCGCCTCGGGCACCGGCCTCCCGGAGGACGTCCTCGCGTTGCCCATCCCGTTCTGCACCTTCGGTGGGTGCAAAGAGCAGCCGTGCGCCACGATATATTGGAGCATCGACCCGGAAGTAAAAACAGCCTTGCAGTACCGCCTAACCAAGGGTTTCCTCACCATCAGGTGCAAGCGTAGTTTCTTCGAAGACAAAATGGACAGGTTCTTGGCTTTCCTCGGCCCGCCGACTTCGTTGAAGGGCGCCCCAGCCAAGAGGAAGGGTCAAAGGGATGCCGGACGTTCTTCGCAGATCATGGCGGGGCTCGCGGCGGGCGACTAGCCGCCCTGAGGGTTGCGTACCTGTACGCGCCCATGTTCAAGATGGTCTGAGCCGCTAGGAACCCAGTGGGGACACCGGCGCCTAGCCCAAGGGACCTTGCTGCATCTGGTCGGTTGCGACGGCCCTTGTGCTTCATAATTTTGGTTTGGGGAAAAGAATGCCGTGCCCCGCACTCTGGGGACGCATGCCCCCCCTGCCCGGTTCCGTTTCCACTCCCCGCGGTTCTCTGGGCCGGGGGGCGCGCTGACGTTCTTGGGCAACGTGCCGCGCTCTGGGGTCCAGTTGCTCGGGCCAGACCGGGCATCTTCATGCGAGCGTCGTCCAGGGCTGGGTGCCAGTCCCATCAGGGCTGCCATCCGCTGCACCAGGGCGCCCCTTGCATTCCCACATGCCGCGCTCCAGCACGTCGGAGCTCCAGCAATCACATGGGTCACGCTGCCGGGCCCCATCGGCCCCTCTCATATAGCGAGCGTCGCCCTGGGTTGGTTGCCGGCCGCTTTAGGCCGTCGACCTATGCACCAGTGCGCCCCTTGCATTTCCACCTGCATGCGAATCGTCTCCCTGTTAGACAAGCAGGCTTGTCACTTTGGTGGAGAGGGGGTGAGGATAGGAGGGGCGCAAATTAGGGCGGTTATTCGAGTACGTGCACGGCGTGCTGCACGCTCCCGGGCGACGCAAAACGTGACGACGACACAGCAAGCCCCCCGCAGAGCTGTCGTGCGAACGTGGCCGCGACTCGGGATATGGATGCTGGGGACGGTCCTCGCATCGAGGGTAGGCCGGCCCACCCAAATTGAAGTGACGGCCTGCGAGGGCGACAACCCGCAACGAAAATGTCACGATTTTCGGCCCGTAAATGCGGAAGGGGGAGGGGGCGGAGGAGATGCAGGAGATGGCAGTCATGGCATTCCGGCCGCGACCGTTTAGATTGCCACAGTGCTGTTCGCGTGCCTCCTGGAGGCAAATAGGGAGGCCAAATCCTGCCCCCCCCCCACACCCTACCTTTCCCTCCTCCCCGGACAGCGCGATCTCCTCCGCCTTCGCGTTGCGCGGTGGAGGTGGCGGTTGCGGGCGGCTCGGGGGAATGTCTTGGTGGGCTGTGGGCCCTCTCCTCTCCCGGCCCTTGCTGCCGCTGCTGCTGCTGCTGCTCCCGCCCCCCTCCCCCCTTGTTCCCCTCTCCCCTTCCTTTTCTTTCTCCCCTTCCCTTGCCACCCGGGCTCACGGTGGCGCAATTGCAGCGCCCCTCGGACGCCTTCTTTAGTGGCCCCGCCATTCTGCCTCCCAACGAGCGGCGGTTCAGGTGGGATGCCAGCCCGGCTGCTGCCATTCCGTCGCCTGGGCGCCCCTTAACCGAAGGACTATCGTGAAGATGGCTTGGAGGGGCCCGGTTTTGTGGGGGGGAAGTTCGATACTTTACCCCCCAGGGGGGGGGAGGGGGGGGGGGGGGGGCAATTTGTTAACCTTTTTTCCCGGCGGAGTTGCCGACATTCCTCAGCAGTGCAGCAGGTGATCCAGGCCGCGTGCATGTAAACATGGTGGAGGTGTCGGAATCGGAGACTTGGGGGCACCCGTCTCGGAGGAGTCGGGGGTGCTCTTCTCTCCCTGCCTCTGCTGCCGCCGCTGCTGCCGCTCCTCCTGCTCCTCCTCGCCTTTCCCCCTCTCTCCTCTCTCCCTCTCTTTCTTTTTTTCTCTCTCTCTCTCTTTCTCTCTCTCTCTCTCTCTCTCTCTCTCTCTCTCTCTCTCTCTCTCTCTCTCTCTCTCTCTCTCTCTCTCTCTCTCTCTCTCTCTGTCTCTCTCATCTCTCTCTCTCTCTCTCTCTCTCTCTCTCTCTCTCTCTCTCTCTCTTCTCTCTCTCTCTCTCTCTCTCTCTCTCTCTCTCTCTCTCTCTCTCTCTCTCTCTCTCTCTCTCTCTCTCTCTCTCTCTCTCTCTCTCTCTCTCTCTCTCTCTCTCTCTCTCTCTCTCTCTCTCTCCGCTGTCGGCGCCGCTGCTGCCCTGGCCCCGCCGCCGCCGCCGTCGTTGTCCGCGTCCTGTCGTCTTCGTTGTCGTCTTCCCTCTGTCGGCGGCGCCATCGCTTTCGCCGCTGGCGCTTGCGGACTCGTCGATCTTCTCGACGCAGTCTGTCCCGTGCCCGCGCCGGCTCGGAGGTCGGCGCGCCCGCCCGCGTTGCGGGGGGGCGTCGGCGCGATGGCGCGCCAGATGAGGGGGGCGCGCCCTGGTGCTGCAGGGCGGCTGATGTTCACGTTGGGATGGGGCGTCAGACGGCGCGCGCACGTTCACCCGCTCGCGAGCGGCGGGCAGGGAGCACGCATGACAGCACACGCTGGCATCGTCCTCCCGCCCGCCCCTCGCCCGCCGGGGACGCGAGCGCACTGGGCCCGCTTCAGGTGCTGCACGACGATTGGAAATCCGCCCGCCCCATGAGGTGCGAACGGGCTGCACTCGCCAAGGACGCGGCGGCCTTGCTGGAGAGGGAGCCGGTCAACCCAATGGGCTGCCAACCAGTAGGGGGGAGGACAGTTGTTCCGCTTGCCACTCTCACCATTGAGTTAGGGAGATTCCCGCGCAAACATGTGCTTAAGAGCCACGGCGTTTCCGCCTCGGTTGCGCGGGTGGTCTCACCATGCGCGGGGGGCGTGGCGGTGACGGGAGCAGCTGAAGGCCCCGAAGTCTTGCCATCGTACACCGCGGAACTGGCGGTGGCGACCCTAAACCCTGGCAAAGTCGGGCTTGCCGCCCTCGGCAATGACGACATCTTGCATTGGAGACTTTGGGCCATAGCTGAGGTGTCATTGCAACGAGGCGTGCATATTTGTATTATTCCAGGGGCCCGGTTTCCAGCAGGTGCGCGTCTTCCCAGTGGTTTCCCGTATCTTTGGATAGGTCGCCAAACCTCCGAGTTTGCATCCGTCGGCTTCTTTGTGCTCGAAGAGTTCGCCAGTGTTGTTAGCAGCGTTGACGACTGCTGTGGCGCGCGGTGGCACGCTCTACGAGTCCGCAGCCCGAGCGTGCAGAGCGGCTCTCAGGTAGTTTACGTTTGCGGTTTCTACGCCGCCCCAGGCGGGGACCGTGATACTTGGGACAACGTCATCCAGGTAAAGAGCGCCCTCCAGGAGCGGGACCCGGACAGCTGGTGGTTGCTTGCCGGGGATGGTAATGTGCACCGGGCAGGTTTCTTGGCACATCCCTCCACATGCCGTTGCGGACATTGTAAACAATTTTCTGCCGACCGCGCAATCCAAGCCAGGGTGGCGCTGGCAGGGCTCCAATTGAGGAATCCCCCAGCCGCAACCCACCAGTCCGGTTCCGCGATAGACGTTATGCTGTCGGCACCGCGAGCACCCCTCACCGTGTGCATTCTGCAAGAGTTCATCGCCGAATCAGATCATAAGATGGTTATCGGCAAACTCCCCATTGCCATCGCGTATTCCTATGGTCACAGCACTGGCAGGGTAATGTGGGCATCTGCGGCGGAGTGGGACTTCGCATTGGACAAGATCGCCCCCCTCCTGTCCCGTCTGGAACAAGCAGTAGCCCCGCTGGCTACGGACCCCGCGCTGGCCCCAAATGCGTTCGGCGGCGCGGCGCCGCCGCGGACAAGGAGGAAGCTGTTGGATGCTGCCGCTTGGTGTCGTGACGATCTTCTGGTGTTCGCAGGGCACGCCGCGGGCCTTGTCAGCGTGTGCGCCCCAAAGACTACCTCTTCCTCCAGCTCCGCCCGCTTGCCTCCCCGCAGCAGCGATTTTGAATCTTTCGCCGAGTACAGGCAGGCTGCGGCCGACGCTGCCTGGGCAAGACGCAGGGATACCTTCAGAAAGTACCAGAAGTTGCGCGAAACAGACCCGGGACAGGCAGAGCAGTTCTTATCGAAATGGTTAAAAACAGGGAGCGAGTTTTGCGTTGCCTTGGAAGACAAGCAGACGGGGGCTCTCCTACCCAAGGGGCGCATGGTGGAAGAGCTCGTGAAGGACCTCTTCGCCCGCGCCAGCAACGACTTCCCCCAGGGCCCCGCTTTCGCTGCGCACTTGGCAAAGCAATTATCTGTGATACGCGCGTGCGGCGCCGCCCCGGGGTGCTTGGAGAGCGCCGGCAGGCCCTCCCCCCAACCACCGCCGGGCGACGGCCCGTTCAGCAACGCCGAGGTCGCCGCCGCCATCGCCCAGTTGCGCCCGGGCAGCTGCGCGCTCGGCTGCGCCGCGGCATCCCTGCGCGCACGTTCGTTAGCCAATCGTCAGGTTTCGGCCACGCTCGCCAACTTCTCGCGCCACGTGGGTTTGACTTCGTCTCTATGGACCCTCAGGAAGTTTACCCCTATCCACAAGAGTGGCCCTAGGGTGGTGAGGTCCTCCACCTGCATGCGGCCGATCAGCATCGCGTCCGATTTCGCGCAGCTGATGGACGCTCTGCGGGTTGGCCGTTACTTCAGCAGGATACAACGTTTTTGCGGGGATGCCCAAGTCGGGGGCGTCTCCGACCCTATCTCGCTCGTTCTCGCCCTTTTGCTTTTGTGCGAACTCCGTCAGTATGCAGGGGTGTCGACTTACTTGGCCTTCCTGGACCTGAAATGGGGGTTCGACGTCGCCATTCACAGCGGCATGCTCGTTAACACCTTCTTGGCGGGCGTCTGCGGCAGGGGCTGGCTCTGGATAGAAGACGTTGTCCGCGAGGACAAACAAGTACTTGAGTTACACGGTCTTCTTTCGCTTACTTTCGTGTTAGCATGCGGGACTGCCCAGGGCCGGAGGTTCTCGGTGCCTCTGTTCAACTCGCTACTACGAAATCTGAAAGACCTCCTAGTTCGGGCGGCACCGGGGGGGGCCTGCGCTTCCCTCCCTCCCTGGGCGCGGGAAGCGCTGTTGCGTGCGCAGGCGATTGAACCGCCGGTGTCTCTGGATGGCTTGCCCTCGGGAGAAGGCCACCTGCGCGCCTTTGCAGAGATCGTCCGGGCGATCACCGATCACGCGGTTGCGTTGGGTGCGCAACCGTGCGAGCAGGCGGCTGCTGCCCTGGCATCTCTGCCGTGCCTGGCCGACCGCGTCGCCACCGTCGAACTTCTCGGTGATGCGTCTTTGGACCCATCGCAATATATCGACGATGCAGTCGCGGCTTGTTCATCGGTAGGTGCGCTTCGCGCAGTACTGGGCCAGACCGTGCCGTCGGCGACGGTGCAGTACGCTCAGCAAGCCAAAGCATCCTTTAATTCTGGCACCAACAAAACTTCTGCCATGGTTATCGGCCTGAGCCCCAAGTTCGATTCCACCGACATGGGTTTCGACACCTGCTCGTCCAGAGTGATTCTATGGGATTATCTTCGGAGCGGACTTGTCTTTTGGCCCCTTCGCGCGGTCGCTGCTCGCACGCGGGAGGGCCCTTTTCTACCAGGCTGCGGACGCTGGAGGCTTCCCTGCGCCAGTGCTCGCCGCCCAGGTGCCGTCCAGGATTGAAGGGGCCATCCTGTACGGAGCCGCGTTCATTATAGACGTGCCGCACATCGAAACTGACCTGAACAAGCTACAAGCGTACTGGGCCAGAGCGGTTTTAGGTTGCAAGAGAGAGCCGCGCCTTAATTGGGCGTTGCCCCGGGTGCAGTGTGGGTGGGGGCGCCGCCTGGGAACGCGGATGCTTGAGCAGGTGATTATGGCCAGGGCGCGGTTGTGGGTGCTCCCCGGGGGCCACCCTGCAGTGGTAATGCGGGAAGCAGCGCGCTCCTCGCCCGCTCCTTCGTGGTGGAGGCGGGCTGGCAGTATCTTATCCGATTTCCCGGGCGGCCCACTTCCAGATATCATCGACGTCGCCGAGTTCACAGACCGAATAGCTGCTGCGACGGGAGACCCGGGAGAGAGGAAGGCTCTTCTAAAGCGGTACAAGTGGGATGTGGTTCGCCCAGTACTCCGAGAATATGACCGCCTGGCATGCCAGTCTGCCGCCGATCGACCCCTACCATCCTTTGGCCTTCCTTCCTCGTCTGTCTAACCGGCGGCGGATGATGTTTCGGGTGCGGAGTCAAGGTCGTTGGAAGACGTTGGATCCATGCACTTTCGCCTGTGGGCAGTCTGCAGGATTAGCGGGCGCTGGCCACTCCCGGTGCTCGGAGGCGAGGAAGCGCCAGTCATACCCTCAAGTTGCGGTGCTTGCCCTTGCAAGGACGTGCCAGTTACCCACGCCCTGCTAGCGTGCGTCGGCACCTCCGAGCTCCGCAAGGAGCTCTGGCAACGCGCCCCAATGCCCCCCCGCGGATCCACAGGAGCAGTGCTAACTACCCTCTTTGGGCCCTAGCGGGGTCCGGATCACGTTCGTTTCGTGGCGCGCGCGTTGCTGCGTTGTGGGCGGGGGAGTGCATTTGCTGACCAAACAGACGCATCGGAGGATTGAGCACCCAGCGGATTCAGTGGGCGCTGTCTGTTTCCAGCGCTCGTTGGCGAGGACAATCCAAACGCTTTCACATGTTGCGGTGCCTGCCAATTTCAGGGCGCGCCCGTTTCCCACGTCCTCGCGGCGTGCGTGGGCACCTCCGAGCTTCGCAGGGAGCTCTGTCAGCGTACCCCAACCCCCCCTTCGGACCCAAACGGAAGGGACTATATGTCTGCACTCTTTGGGCCAGAGCGGGACTGGACCACGTCCGCCGCGCGATGCGGGTGCTCTTCGTCAGTGGACGGGGCGGGGGGTAAGCAGGATGGGATGGCAGTGGAGGCATGGAAGCAAGGAGCCGGGGCAGTGACTGAGTGGGCGGCGGCAGGCCAAGTGTCCAGCAGGACCGGCGGGCGAAAGACCCCGACCGGCTCCCTCCTGGGCCCGCCCTTCCTGCCCTGCGCGCGGCGGCGCGTTGGGGCGCGGGGCAGGGAGCGCACTGGAGGGAAACGAGAAACGAGAAACGAGGGGGAGGAGGAGGAGGAGGACGTTCCATACGGACCATGGACCATTTGGGCTGAGGAGGAGGAGGGGGGAGGAGGGGGGGGGGGAAGGAGGGCGACGCTCCAAGCGGGTCATGGACCACGCGCCGCCCTGCACTCGAATCTCTAAATTTGCACTTGCAGTAAATGCTGCAGGGTCGGAACATACCCCCGGGGGCCCCAGGGGTGGCACCCGCGAGGCGCCGCTGGAACAGGGCGCCCGCAGGGCGCCAAGGCGCGCGCAGTGCACCGCAAGCACCGCCATGGACCATCAAGGGAACGCGCCCGCATGGCGCCTTTGAAATGCGCAGAGCGCGAAGCGCCAGAAAAAAACACAACGTGAGTTCCCAGGCGTGCCGAACGCGAAGCGTGACGATTATATAACAAGAGCGTTCCTGCAAATTGGCGTTGCCAGCGGTGCGTGTGCGTGCGTGTGTGCGTGTGTGCTTGTGTTTGTGTTTGTGTTTGTGTGTGTTGTCTGTGTCTGCGTGTGTGTGTGTGTGCGCGTGTGTGTGTGTGTTTGTTCTGCGGCGTTGGCAAGAACGACTATATGACAAGAACGTTTGTGTGCGTGTGTTTTTGTTTATGTTTCTTTTCCTGAGCCCGACCAGCTTGCTGTTCCACGCAGTCCTGCTCTTCTTCGGCGCAGGGGCTGCGTCGCCGCGCGCTCTCCGAAACTCAACCAAGACCCTCCACATCCAATTCCACCTGTGAGCGGCAGCACATACCTTTTTCAAATATCCGTTCAATTGCTCGTCGAACCAGGCGCCGTACGCAGATGGGGACCCAGTCACATACACGGAGCTCACAAGATGGCAGCCTTGGTGGCGTTTGGGTTTGAATTTGATGTCCACCTCTCTGGCGGTACTCAAATGAATTCTGTACTCGTCGCAAAACGTTTGCACTTCCGAAGCTGACCAAATGCCTTTGTTCGTCTTGAGAATGCCAAGCATTCGGCGCAACGCCTGGCCGCACCGAAGAACACTCGAATACATAGGGAGGTTCTTGGCACTCGGCAGCGCTAGCACTTCAGAAACAACAAGTATTAGCATTGTGTTCGTTTCCGCCCCTTGCATTTTGAACTCGCCTGATCCTTCTGATCCAAACATGTTGAATGTTAAGTTGTGGATATCTGCATTGATTCTGCCAGCCTCTTTCTCTACCTTGAGCCATGCGAACAACATGGCGCGAATGCGGTCGAGTGAATGCGCATTCTTCCCATCTTTATGCATGGGCGGACTGGCAAGCACATTGTGATCGAATAGCCACCACATGCAAACATTCAAATAAAAACCGAACGCGCCAAGGGACAGACAGTGCAGCCAGTCGACTGCCGTGCTGCCTGGATGCATGTATGCCTCGGGACAGAAAAAAGGACACCCCCTCCGCACCGACGTTTCTTCGGACCGCCTCCAGAAGAGTGCCCAGAACGGGTTGTCCTTCCCGTCGAAGTCCAAAATGTTAGGCACGTCACGGTGGGGCTCGACGCGATCTCCTTTCTTGAGGCCGAGTTCTGGAAGGTCAACCATGAGACAGCGGCCTCTGTTGCCGCGACTTGTCCTGTCGCACTCCAACGATCCACGGAGCCGTGGGAAATTATCTTGTGTAACAAGTATCCAAAACTCGCAGCGGTTGCAAGCATCGTCGTACTTTTCAAGGGTATGCGGCTGCCATGGCATATAGCCAGTGCAGGATAAGCCAGCAAATGCATACCAATTATCATGACTACACTCGCACACGGGGCAAGGGTGCTTGATTGTTCCGAAGGATGGGAAACCGTACATTTTCGTAGACTCCACCCAATCATGTTTCAACCACAGCACGACAGCCTTCTCCAATTCTGATTTGGAGCACGCTGCCTCCAGTGTCTCAGACTCTCGCCAGTCAGCTCCGTCATGCCTTTTGGCCGGGGCAATCCCAGCAGCTAGCGACATCAAGCTCCGACGCATCGCCAACTGGAGCACGCAAACCGAATGCCATCCCCTGCAACCGCAGGAACAACGATCAGACTTCCGCATCACAGCGCAAACATGACGCACGCCTGAAATAATGTTATACACCCACGGCGCAATGCAGCTATCTGTTCGTGTGAAGCTGAAGCCGTCAGTGTATACTGCGAGCGGCCATGCGCGTTCGCCTTCGGGCGAGGCGCGCACAACGTCGTGGCTGACATGTACTGGAGGGAGGACCTTCTGAGATATAGCAGCCTCGAGCTTACCCTGGAGCGACGGACCCATTTTCAACTCACTCTGAATGCAGACGTGAGGAGGAGAAAACGGCACATGCAAGGTCACCATGGATTGGTCCGCTCTGAGAGTGGACGGGACATCGAGCATGGGGGAATGGATGCGCAAGGTTCTGGGAGACCCTCAATAGGTTCCCCGCGCCCCTTGGACATCAGTTTCACCCCCCCCCCCCTCCCCAAGGGTCCTTAGGGGGGGGGGGGGTGAAGGACGTTGCTTGCGAATTCGAATTCATTTCACCTGCCGCTGATCATGCTGCTCACTCTGATCATCCTCCACGTCTGTCCAACCAATCCTTCCTCCCACTACGCCTCCTCGCCCTCCTCCTCCTATACATTTTTCTGCTTTACCTGGGAGGGGCAGCCTAGCGTAGAACGTCATTGAATATAATTGAAGATCATTGAACGTCATGGTGACCAACATCATTGAACAGCAGTGCCATTTTGAGGGGATGTCTCAGGCGAAAACGTCGTGGGTCGAATTCCGCCCTGGGCTAAAATCATTGAAGATCATTGGACATCATGGGGCTTGCACCGAGGTGATTTCCAGAGAACGTAGCGAGATTTCGATACGATTGTGTTGTAGTTGATTTTCGTTGTTGGGGTCCATGCGAACTGTGTTTTGATAGTTTTCTTCGTCATGGCCTGTCTCTTTGACTTGAAAAAGTCGGTCGACGATGCACCGCTCGAGCGCTTGTTCAGTGCGGGCCCCTGCCGCACTCGATCAAACGACGCCGACCGATCCCCTTGGCCAGCATCGCGCTCCCACTAACGCAAACAGTGGCACCTCAGGCTGCGATGGAGGCCTCATACACCCTCTTGCAACGGTTGGTTGCCTCGACCAGCTTCGCGACGAGGGGGTCCAGCTCTCCTGAGCGGTTGGTCTCATTCACGATGTCGGTCGCCTCCAGGTTTGTGTTGGCCCACTTCTGGAAGTTGCCCGCCAGGCCGGCGTTCGCCCAATAGGGGGAGCTCTCGAGGAAGGTCTCCGCTGCCTTCCTTGCCTCACGGAGGTCCTGGACCATCCCATCTCCCACAGCTTTCTGCCAATCCGCCTTCGTGGAAATCGCGTGCGTGACATCCTTGCAGCTTTGCTGAGCCTTGGACGCATCCGCATATGCCTTCAACGCCTTGGTGAAGGAGAACTTGGCCGCCTTGCGAGGCTGCCCAGCATCGGGTTGAGCTCCGCGCTGCCACTTAGTAGGGTTCGTAGTCGGCTCCTTGCCCTTTGGAGGGGTGCGCGTCTCCTGGCCCTGCTTCGTCTTCGGGGTATCCGTGGTCGGCTCGGCTGCGGACCCTGCGGTCTCCGTGTCGGACTTCTTGAAGATCTTCTCCGTGCCTTTCGTGCGCTTGAAGTTGCTGTCGACGCACTCGTCCAAGTGAAGAAACTTCACCCTCTCGCTCTGCATGTCGATCTTGATGAACGGTTCGCCAATAAACGTTTTCCCCGCTTGCATGATTTTGAAACAGTTCTTCACCACGTTCAGTGCCGCCTTGCACGCCAGCTCATCGTTCCCCTCGTCGCGCACGATGATGCTGAACAGTTTGTATTTTCCC